TATATATACACACACATACACATATATATATATATATATATATATATATATATATATATGTACAGAGTTTTTTGCACTGTAGACATGTATGCATAACAAAAGCACATGATTTAGCTAAACATACCTAATGCAAACTGATGACATTCACAGCATTAAACTACTTGGCACAAGCTGATTGGTTCATGTTGCATTCGCAGCCAAAGAGCTTGCTGCTTTACATTTAAACGGCTGATTAGCATTCACTAGAGAATTTCGCAGCGTGCTTTCAGAGTTCCTCTCAAACCCTCCACCTTCCCCAGCTCCACCTGAATAGATCTGCTTTGGGTTATTATATATGCTATTTGTGCAGCAGCAGTATGTCTTAAATATTCACAGCACCGTATCGGCATATGTATTGGCAGTAGCAAGTTCCTGTACTTGCAGCAGCAGCAATAATTTACAACAACAGCAATAACCAACAGCAGCAGCAATTCAGCAGTGTAGCAGATCTATTTCAGCCAAATACATTAACAATGTGATATCCATTACCATGCTAAAATCTTCAGAGAGTTGTCATGATAGAAATGCTCTTTTGCTCATGTGTACCAAAACTCAAAATACAATCTTAATTGTAGTAATTTTGCATGTTTTGAATGGCATACTACTATTTTTGCAGTATGCACAGTGTATGCATGATATGTAACTTTTTGTTCTGCCAAATTGTGCAGTACACAGCTTGAATGCACTTAACTTGACTATTATATTTATAGAGTGACAAATAATCTGGGCACAATATCAACCAACATCTCCATTATCACTGGCTATCTGCAGTGACTTCATTTGAAAGCCCTTATTATATTTTAAAGAGGCATAAATAGAAAGAATCAATTGACATTAGAGGTTCTGGATTGATTGCATCATAGCTTTATCTTAACATCAATTTATTTTCCATATCATCAGTATGACCAAAATACAATAAAGAAATGAAAATCCAATTTCATCCTCATGCACTGTAACATTGTCTTGATTGGAGAAAGATACCTACATCTAAGGCTTAAAGCCAATACAATTATTTTAAGAAAATAAGATAGGCCCTTAGATGTCCAAATAAAAGTGCCTTTGTGTGCAAGCACAAAACAGTCTGACTAAAAGTATTTAGCCGTCTAGGCAGAATGCCTGATTAGTTTTTGATGAGGGGCCTGAGGATGTCTGCTAGTGTCTGTCTGGTTGGTGGGACATGTGTTTAAAGCAGTAGTTATGGCTTTGATTCAGGCTGAAGGAAGTTAGCTGTCGATCAGTGTGTCAAGCATAATTTTCTTTTTAGGGGTTCTTAATATCTTTTGTTGTTAAGAGTTTCAGAGCTGTCTTTAACGAATCATGGACTTGAGTTAAAATACAATATGGTTCAAAAGTTTGGGGTTGGTAAGATTTATTTTTTATTTTTTTTAGTCTTTCATACACACAAAGGCATTTATTCGATATTATTATATCAAAAATAAGAGTCAAAACATTAATATTGTGAAATATTACAACAATTTAAGATAGCCATTTTCTGTTTTAATATATTTGGAAATGTGTTTCTTTTTCCTTTGATTGCAAAGCTGAATTTTGAGTCAGACATGCCAAATTCAGTGAGTTGCTGCCTGGATCATCCATTCAGTTAGTGGAAGAATCGTTCGATGTGATCTGTGAGCTATTTCAATAGGTTCACAGAAAAGAACTCACTCAAAAGAATGATTTGCACACAAATTGGAAATCACATTCAAGCAGGCCTTGATTTCTTCAATGGATTTATATGATGTTTTATGTTTTTTCCCCCTGAAATTTAATTGAGCAAAAAATGAAGAAAAGAAAAGATTTCCCAAAAGATTAAAACAATTCTAATAGTGTTCTAATAGTGTGAAAGTACAGTAAAAATTACTTTATTACATTCCACCACTGCTATGTACTATTAGAATATGATACAACATGGTAAATATGACTTCTATTATGATAAAGACAACAAATTGATGACAGTTTTGACTGCACAACATTTATCATCATGCATATGGCAATTGCAATATGACCCTAATGACACTGGAGGTCAGACTGTAATAAATAGCAATCTGTTGCATTAGTCAAGGAGACGTTCAATTACCATTACGGTGAGTTGCATTTATCGTAATCATTAGTATTACCATGTTTGATGGCCCTTGATTTTTCTCCTTGTGATAACATACATTAGTGTGTTCAAGGCTGGTCGAATTAGCCTGCTACAAAGCTGAAGCGTAAACATCAATCCCAGTCAGTGGGTATATGTCACTGACGTTCCCTTGAGGAGTTAGACTTGTCTCGCTCCGAATTGCCTCTCCTCCATGGCTTTAATTGGTCAAATTAGTGAGTGTGTCCGCCACGCATATTTGAAGCCGGACAACTGAATCACTGCACATGTGTGATGAAATCCATATTGACAGAGTGATGGGAGCAGCACTAGTAAGAGATAACAGCTGGATGCTGGGAGTGTGAGGTGCTGCTTGTGGTTGCTGGGATGTGTGTGTTTATATGTGTTTGACTGTGAGAGAGATTGCAGGCCAGCTGCAGTGTACACTTTAGCGTTTAGTACACCATACAAGGAGTATGAAATGAAGAAGAACAGATGCTTTAATCTGAACTTGAGAGTAATCATAGATACCACATAGGTTATTTTAACTAACCATGACTAATATCAGATGCCTTACGCCATGTGCTGTGAGTTTAACGTGCATTTGGGAACACAGCGTGTGCCAGGTTGACTTTTCCACATTACATAATTTATAACATTATAGTGGACAGAAGTTTACTTCATTTCACCAATACTCCACCAAAATAAAAGTGAGAGGCATGAAATGTTAAAAGCTTGAGGGTTTGAACATCTGAAAGTGATGTGAGACATAATTATTAATATTGTGTGTATATATATATATTCAGTGAGTTGCTGCCTGGATCATCCATTCAGTGAACGAATTATTCAATGTGATCTGTGAGCTATTTCAATATATATATATATATATATATATATATATTTATTTATTTATTGGTAAGTCAAAAGTATTTTTGGTAAGGTAAAACTCACAATAATAATAATAATAATAATTATTATTATTTAATTTGATAAGGTTTCTAAAACACCATTGTGACCATTAACCGACATCAGAGAACAGTGAACATTAATTTAAAATTAAATTATTGAAATATATTATCTTAGAATCTCAGGCGGTATACTTCAAGTACATATTTTACATTTAAGCGGTTTAGCTGACAAAAAAAAAAAAAACATTTGGGAACCACTATCTTATGGTTTGCAAATTCAGACAGCTCAAAAAATATAAGGGATAGTCCATTTTAGTGGCAAATTTAAAGTCAACTCTAAAACTTATTGGTTCATTTAGAACAAAAAAAAATCAAATAAAAAAGCTTGTTTTGTACCCTTTTTTTCTTTTGTGAGAAACACGAGGGTGAGTAATTGACAATTTTAGAATGTACAGTCACGTGTGTATTTATCTGCATTTTACAATAGAACATCCAATGGGAATCCTTTTTATAATTCGTATTTAATTTCAGCTGGAAAGAGGGGGGACGCTTGAAAGAATTTGTTGACCACAGGAGGATATGATGCAGTGCGCTATCAATCATGAAGTGATATAATAGTATTGTGCTGCAGAGACTAGAGGGGAGGTCAATTATAAATAATGCATTGGTAATAAATCCTCCTATATACAGGGAAAGTGAGTCTGATCTGCTCATAAAAGCCTTGCAAACCCCTCACACGTGCTTTGACACACAATCATCTCTTATGTGTGTTGATTAATCAGAATACTGAGAACCTTTCTGCCACAAGGCACACCTTTTGCCGTTGTAGTGCAGTAGATAACACAAATGTCTGGGTAACCAACAGAAACCTCAGATGTCCAAAAAAAAAAAAAAAAAAAAAAAAAAGTGTTGAAAATTACCAGTCTTTCATGTTAAATTTAATCTTCATATTAAAATAAAAAAACATTTTATTTAAAGCATCAGCAGCAACACTAATATTAACAATAAGTGGCAAAGGGTGGCGATTAAGGGATGGGGTGATGCTGATAATTAGGGGGAGGCGGCCGACTCATCACAGTGTTTAGAAGCAAGAGTCACACAAATTGCTAAGAACAGAATGGATCACCTACTGAGGATTTTGCGTCCATTAAAACAAATGGGCTGTCTGGATGTGCTCTGCTTATCTGAGACTGTAATCAAATGGAGCTTAGTTTAAAAAACATTCATTGGTGGCATTGAAGGGCTGTTTACGTAAGCTTGGTTTGGTTGGTCAAATCTGGTCTGGGATGGAATTTCTGGGAAAGTGGTAGTGACAAGAGTAATGATTTAGAACAGCTTCTTTCTTTTTTTTTTCTTTGAGTACTGACTTAGTTTAATTTCCTGCTGTCTTGAAGTTTGTGTGGATGAGCTCTCAGTCATTTTCAAGAGAACCTGTATCTGCTGCTCCTGAAGATGATGGTTCTGTTCTGTGGCTGTGTCATTTTCTGTATATCTTTTCCTATTTTGTGGACGGATGAAGTTATGACCGCTCTAAACTGTTAAATCTTGAAAACTGGACTAGTACTATAGCTGTAAGGCTGCCATCTAGTGCTCTGAATGTAAACTAAATCTATACTGTGTGTGAGACAGAGATTTTCTGTGATAGACAGAGATTTTCTGTGATAGACAGAGAATGCTAAGCAAGCAGATCTAGAGATACAAAGCACAACAGCTTGACATAAACATCATGGATTACTGCAAAATTGTTGCTTGTAATCACATAAGAACTAATGTTCACTAGAGTTGTGGCGCAGTAAGTGGTGCACATGTTCACAACATGTAAGAGTAACAGTGCTCAAGGGATTCGGGATTTAATTATTAAGTTAAAAATAATAATATAGTAATAAATTGTGCTAAAAATTGAGGGCTTAAAAACAACAACTTGTACATTGTAACTGATGCACATTCTGGACATGCATTAGTGGCACCTGTGAAAATAGTCTAAAAATATAAAGTCCTTTCATTACAAAATAGAATAAAAAATAAATTATAAGGAAATAAAATAAATTGTTTACCCTATAAAACACAATGGAAAAATATTTTAATATTTATATCCAAAGTGACTTGCAAGGTGCATTCACATCAGGAGTTTAAATGCTCAAGCAGTTTTGATATGGGAACATTACTGTTAATCAAGAACATGAGATGACTTTTGTTTTAAAAGAAGCTTCTTTAAGAGAGAACACCACTTTTGCTCTAAAAAAGCATAAAGTCAGTCCAGTCCTCCTACCTTTAAATCATACAGGAAGTTGTGTGTGATTTGTACAGAATTTTATAGCAGCAGATGTATGGGAGTTGAATCAAACCTGACTGCTTGCCCACTGCACTCTCTGACCTTCAGATATCTATCTGAGGCACTTTAAGTCAGAATCTGTGATTGTGGCTTGAAGACATGCAGGTCGCTTACACTTCTTTGAAAATTGAATAGAAGCCCCTACTTAGGTGGGATAACAAATTACCTGAGTGAATGTCCATGTCATGGCTGCTGAAAATGATTCTGAATAAGATTCAGTGTCTTATTTTTTTAGTACTGACAACAATTAAACATAATTCCTCCACACACTCCTATTAATGTAATGCAAAACAAATCTCATTCTCACTATTGTGAAACAATAATGAAAATCACCTTTTCCAGATTTTTAATCTGCATAATTAACACTGGGTAAGACATTTGGTTTTTATGAGATTCATCCATATTAACTCTGCCAAACAAAAAATAAATCAATAAATGTGCAGAATGAACAGCTAACTGTTTGGAAGTCTCACTCCAAAAACATAATGTCGTCACTCAAGAGCATATATGATTATTATCCTCAAAAAGTCTGTCCTAACTGTTTCCAGTCACAAGCCATTTTGTCTAACAACATCAACAGAACACAGCCTTTCTCTGAAATCCATCACAAACAACTGTATTGAGAACCTAAACCTCTTTAAATCTGGCCAAATAAGCACCATGTGAAACTAATCCGAAGCCAAGAGCACACGTGTTTTGCTTTAGGCTAAGCTCTTGGCATTTAGCGACAAGGTCGACGAATAAGATTCCCTCGCACACAGTGCACACATTTACACATAAAGATACAGCAGACAGAAGCCAAGATGAACAACACAGGTGGCGTTATACCACTGAGAACAGATGAATGCTTGTGTGATGGAGTCCTGATGAGGGGTTAGAAGGAAACACTTCCATCTGCTGTGCTTCCAGAAGGTGCTGTAAATGTTTACTTTGTGAACACAGGATAAAGACTCTGAAAGTGCATGGGTGAAATGTAGGTTTGACACAGGTAATGTGTGTGAGTGTGTAGGGCTGGATGATACACTGAATACTTCCTCACAATATATTTGTAATGGTTTTTGTGCTTGTTTGTTTTTTGGCTACATAAAATTTAGCAACATTGAGACTATCACAATGTTTTTTTTTTGCTTTTTATTTGGCCATTAAATTCCCTAAGGGCTGTGTCATTAGATTAGTGTTGCTGATCCTTTTTTATTGTTGTTGTTGCTGTTGTACTGTTCTACTGTTAAATCGACTTGATTCAACGATGATTGTTGAAATGATGCAAGTTTGGAGAAAATACATAAACAGATAGAATATAGAGTACATTAGCAATACAATATGGAAAGATATAATAGTTAGCCATATCACCATGTATGTGTCTGTGTGTGAGAGAAGTGAGGGTTACTTACAGTAGCATGTTCCTCTAAGTGGGTTGCCAAGGTAGCGATTTTCAGAATCACATCTGCAGTAATTTAAAAGATAGAACAATTAGTTTACCAATATGACGCATGCACACAAACAAACTAGATTTGGCACTTTTGACCCATCAACAGAGAAATAGTTCATCATCAAAAAAAGAAAAAGAAAATTCAGTCATTATTTACTATAGGTATACAACAAGACATTAGTTAATGTTTGAACTATTCATTTAAAATGTGTTTTAAAATGAGCTGTGCTCTAATCAGCATATTAGGATGATTTCTGAAGGATCATGTGACACTGAAGACTAGCGTAATGACTGCTGAAAATTCAACTTTGCCATCACATGAATAAATACAAATTTTAAATACATTTAAATAGAAAACTGTTATTTAAAACTGCAATAATATTTCACAATATTACTGTTTTAACTGCAGTTTTGATGAAATAAATGCAGTCTTGGTGAGTATAAGAGACTTTCAAAAACATTTTAAAAATATTACCAACCCTAAACATTTGAACAGTAGTGTACATACTGTATCAAAGAACCAAAACTTGTTGGTATCAAACACTGAAATTACTACGCTGCTTTGTCTCAGAACGATGATTGTGAGTGTTTCTGGTTTGTGGGACTATAAAGGGCTGCGTGGTTGTATTTTTTATGGTGATTTTTCCCTATGCTGCAGGTAGTATATTCTTAGCTGAGCTTGAGATGATTATAGTGGACGGGCCGTCAGGTGCCCCGCTCCTCTGAGGCCTGAAGAGGAGGATGAGACCACACTTCTGATCAATTCAGACTGACAAACCAAGCAAAACCCTTTATGCTTTGCCAAAAGCACAAAACTATCGCCCGACTCTCTCAGGATCAGAGAGATGAGCAAAAACCCTATGCGGAATATACAGCATAAATACACTTTTTATGCGGATGAGAAACAGTGGGTTAGAGTAATGCTTAAGCTTTCATAAAAGAAAAACTATTGAGACAATCTTGTGTCAAGGGCATAGGTGTTGATAAGTTTTTGTGAAGCACATTTTCTTTTTAATGGCCATTCTTGATAAAAATATATATTCAGTCAGGATTGTAAGAGATTGTGACAGACGTGGAGAAAGAGTCTGTCTGTGTGAAGAACACAGTGGCATGTCTGGTTTAGTTTAAAGCAAACACTCATTACTGGCATGTAAACACTGAGTGTTTATTATTCACCTCATGCTACAGAAGCAGTGAGTTCATGTGTGTGGATTCCGAGCTCAATAAACACACAGATGGATGGACGGACCAGCAGGGCAAACACGCATGATTAATCACCAAATTGCCCTTTGAAGTGCAGAAGTGGCCGAGGGCCTGAGAAAGAGTACTGCATTGAAATCATAGAAGAAAGAAAAAAGAAAGAAGGCTGCTTTTATTTTATAAAAAAATGCAACAAAAACAGTAATCATGTGAAATATAATTACAGTTTTAAATAACTGTTTTCAATTTTCATATATTTTAAAATGCAATTTATTCATGTGATGGCAAAGCTGAATTTTCAGCATCATTACTCCAGTATTCAGTGTCACATGATCCTTCATATTGAAAAGAGTGCACTTAGTATTTTTGTGGAATCCGTGATACATTTTCATTTTTCAGGATTAGTCTACTTGATGAATAGAAAGTTCAAAAACATTTTTTTTTTTTAAATATAAATCCTCAGTAAGATTATAAATGTCACTTTACTTTTAGTTTTGATACTTTTGATCAATTTAAAACCTCCCCGCTTAATAAAAGTATTAATTTATTTAAAGGGGTCTTATTATGCTTTTTCACTTTTTCAACTTTAGTTAGTATGTAATGTTGCTGTTTGAGCATAAAAAAGATCTGCAAAGTTACAAAGCTCAAAGTCCACTCCAAAAGGAGATATTTTATTTAACAGAAATCACTTTTCAAAAACTACAACGAACGACTCGTTTGGACTACAACGCGTATTTTCTGGGATTTGTGATATCACAAATATCGACGAATGGGACGAGACCGGGTTGAGCTGCACTAGAGAAGGCAACGAGTGTTATCACTATGTCGAAGATAAATGTGTTAGTATGAGAGCCTGTTCTAGTACACCCCCAAAACAAAATCAAGACTTTGTAAAAGAGCATAACAGGACCCCTTTAAAAAAAAAAAAAAACCTTCCTGTCCAAACCAAACTTTTGAATGGTAGTGTAGTAATATGCATTACTATCTATGGGTAGGTTAGTCATTTAGTCAAGCAAGATAACTTAGGTGAAAAAAAAACCAAGTAACAATAAATGTTTAAATTTAACCATTTATAGCTTTGGTTACATACACTACATAGTTAACATATAACTTAACATATAACATAAGACTTTAATCGCCAAATTACAGTTATAGTTCAGACAACAATTCAACAAAGCAATTTTTTTTACAATTACAAATCAGGCACTGGAAAAAAGTACCCGTTAAAACATCTTTTAGCCAATAGAATTGTTTTGGGTTCTGAGGGGAAAGTATTCTGTGGGACGGCAGAATCGTGCATGACATCACCTCAGGACAAAAATAGGCATAAAAAAGGCAAAAAAAGGGTACACAAAGAAAGGCAGGCCCCTCCAGGGCTCCAATAAAATGATATTATTCCAGAGGAACATTTTTAATAATGAGTGTTCACCATGCACAGTGGGACAACCATACATGCTGTGCTCCAATTAACAAAACATTTCATTATAGTTCAAATATTTCTAATTCTCTTCAACTTATGCTTGCTTTTAAAACTCATATTTCTTCTTCATGGCTTTACACTGCACTGTGCCATACAGTACCCTACTGTTAAAGCTGTTTTCCTGTATTTTTATTTCATTAAAGAGATAGTTCACCCAAAAATTTAAATACTTTACTCACCCTCATGTCATTCCAACCCTGTATGAATTTATTTCTTCTGCAGAACACTAAAGTACGTATTTTGAAGAATGTTGGTAATCAAACAATTTCAGTTCCCATTGATTTTATAGTATTTTTTGTCCATATAACGGAGGTCAAAGGGACCCTAAACTATTTGGTTACCAACATTCTTCAAAAGCATCTTCTTCTATGTTCCACAGAAGAAAGAAAGACATACAGGTTTGAAACAACACAAGGTTTGAAAATAGCAGGTGTCCTGCACCAGTTAGCCGAGCAACTGCCATTGTGATGAATGGAAATGCTAACACATAGCTAAGTTTTCTCCAGGTATTACTGATCTTCTTGCTGTTGAATGACAGCAGTCAGTCGGGCAACAGATTAAAGCAAGTGCACCCCAGCGCACCACAACATGAAGTCCAGAAAAGTGTGAAAGAAAGACATAAGACAGGAACTGAGAAAACAAATAAAGGGATGGAAAATGAAAACAGCAGGTGTCAAACAGTGGGCATGCCCTCTAGTCATCTGTCTAGTCCTACTGCTCTCTTAGTTTGAAGAAAAGAAAGAAGACAAACAGGTGAGAGAGAGTGGTACGCTAACTGCCCTTTGTTGATCCTTCTAGCCACACGGTAACAGGCCCTCATCCTGACTAAATAAACAGAATGTGTGTGGCGCCTGCACGCAGGAGACTGAATTAGCAGATAAATCCTCTGAGTACATTTCACACTGAGACAGCTCGTGTGTGCGTGTCTCACAAAAGCATACGCAATAGTTGCTCGCAGGGTTTTAAGCGTTCTCGCTTGAGTACTCCTCAGGAGGGCCTGTCTAATTAAATAGCGGCTTCGTCGTGGATCAAAAGCGCATAAACACAAAAGTCGAGACATTATAAAAATGGATATTAAGTTTAAATGAAACAAACATTAACATGAATGTAGATGTGATGAACAGGAAACTAAAATCCAAAAAATGGTGATTTATTAAGCACTAATAAATACAATTAATAATAACAATAACTACATGAGTAAACTAACTTTGTCTTGAGAGAACCTAGTCTGAAAGCTCAGACAGACAGACAGACAAATAGAGAGACAGACAGACAGACAGATAGAGAGACAGACAGCTAGATAGATAGATACAGTAGATAGATAGATATGTTTTAGAAGTAGTACTGCCAGTTAGTTTTGCTCCACCAATGAAAATATTCTCAAACGACTCCAAAGCAACAATAAAACAGGTGTTTTCCTGAAAGAATAGTACTGAATGAATATTTTCAGTGAATGATCCAATGACTCAGTTTCCTCCTAAACTAATGTAAAGAATCAGTTGACTGTATGATTCAAATGACTCCCTCATAAAAACAGTCACTTGTCGCCACCTACTGGCAAAACCATGTAACCTACAGACCTACAGAAAGAGTGACTGAAAAATCTCCACCACTTCAGTCTTTGAGACAAAATTTATTAGGCATCTTGTTTTACAAGCATTGTTTTGCACTCAGATAAGATAACAATGGGAAAGTTGTGAGATGAAAACATTAGAATGAATATGTAAGGTCCACCCAGTAGGCCCAATGAAGGTATCCAATGGTGGCTGAAGGTTTCCTGCGAGTTCAGTCTTTTCGGTGTCCCAAGTAATTTAGTTTCTATTAAACTCTAATCTGACTCTAATCTCTAATCTAATCTGTACACACTTGAATAAAGCAACATTGTCTCTAGTCAGAGGTCACAACCACTACTAAGAAATAAGCCGACCAACATTACTTTCTCTGATAGCTTTGGTTTGGTCGTGCAATGGTTTCCCATGTACACTTAGCTAGAGTAACATTAAAGTAAACAGAGGTTAGGCTCACCCTATTTAGGTGGGTCAAACAACATTCAGTTGAACTAAACGGAAATTCTCTTTTGGCCCTTACAGCCTAAATACACTTGAACTAATACCAAGTGTTAACCGGAGCTCTAAAGATCCAGTTGGTGTGCCCTATGCTCCATCTCAACTGGATTTTAGTCCATTACAAATCTGACGCAGAAATGCAGTAACAAGAAAACAACGTAATCTACTAGAATCAATAATTTAAGAGTAAACGGAATCAATTGAAATGTAACAATTTATTATCAGTCAGGTAAATATGTATTATGCCAAATGCTTAGTCAATTCAGAGA